TATTTAAATGGTTTATCTGGTCTTGATTTAATTTTGGTATGTGGTATTTATCCAGAAAATTGTCCATTTCTTCTTGGTTTTCTATTTTTGTGTATGTCTCTGCCAGCCGCCACTGCCGCCAGGCCTACCTGCCTCTGCCTGTCACTGCCGCTGTGCCTGTGTATCTTTGTGGGCTGCCACCAGGCCTGTCTGTCTCTGCTGGCTGCTGCCAGGCCTGTCTCTTTTGTTCCTTTATTGCTTGTTTCCTTTATCATTTTTTGGCCTGAATGGTCAAGGGTTCTGGTGATTGGCTAGTTGTCAGGTCAAGTAGGGTTGTCTCAGCTGAGGTTTATGGGGGTTTGGTGTATTGTCCAGTTCTTCTGGCTAGTATGGGCTTTACTTGTGCCTATGGTGTCTGTTCTTCCAACTGGTGTGGGTTGTGCCTGTGGTTTGGAGTCTGTTCTTCCAACTGGTGTAGGTTTTGCATGTGCCTGTTCTTCCAGCTGGTATGGTGGCACTTGTGCCTATAGGGTCTGCTGATGTTGTTGGAGGGGGCTGTTCATGGGGAGGCTGCTGTTCTTCCAATTGGTTCAGGTGGTGCTTGTGCCTGTAGGAGCTGCTGAGGTTGTGGGGTATGTTTGGCCGGGGGAAAATGATGGCATTCACCCAAGAGATCCCTCCAGTGGGAGGAAATATCTGCATTGATACCCTTTGCTCCCAGGTGCCCAAATCCTGAACATCCTTCATGGTGTTCTAGATCCTGAATGCTGTCCTAACAGAGGCAGGTACATAGAATCGTCCTGGACTGGCCACTAACAATGGAAGGAAGAACAGAACAGTTCTAGACAGGGCAGGGAGAAGAGAAATGGAAGAGGAGAGAGAGAGAGGCAGGGGGAGCTGCTAGAAGGCTATAAAGAGTCTACAGCCATACCACCCTGAACACACCAGGCCTCATCTAATCCTGGAAACTAATCAGGTTAGTACTTGGATCAGAGAAGGCTATAAGGAGCCAGAGAAGAAAAACTGAAATTTCTGGTTAACCAGGAAATTTCCAGAGAGCTTCAAACTTCCAAAGTCAAGGTTCTTAGTGCCCAAGTAAGCCTTAACTGTGGTCACTGCCAAGGACATAGGATATTGATATTCAAGGCTTCTACAGGGGACTGTGACACTTGTCAAGCTAAGGATCCTGATACCTTAGGCCTGCACAGGGGGCTATAACACTTGTAAGGCTAAGGGTCTTGATATCCAAAGGCTACATGGGGAACTGTGGCACTTATAGGATCAATGGTTGTGAGGCTGGCACAAAATCTGTGACATTAAATATGCTTCCACCTGCTGCTCAATGGCAGCTCACTGTCAGACACTGAGAACAATGGAAGTTCCTGAAGAGCAACATTTGAAGAATGTCTAGTCTCTTCATGATTTCTATCCAGGTGAAGCAGAAAGACGCTCAGCCAGTTGACTTAGTTACAGCTATGATTGCCAGCCCAGAGAAAAGCATAGATTAAGATTGTAAATCCGAGGCCTCTTTTTCCTGCTTGGGAGGACACAGAAAACATGATTAGATCTAGCTGTCCTTTTGGGGAAGAAAAGGAGAGAGAGTAGACATTTATTAAAAAAAAAAAAAAAAGACAGCAGTCTCCAAAGAGAATTAGATTCATTTACACGAGAGGAGTGAACTCAGTTCTTATTACCCTCAGCAGGTGGGTGCTAATGAGGAAAATTAAATTGTTACAGACAAAATAAAGAAGCTAATTTTTTTCCCTGCACATTTGTGTAGGGTGAGAAAAGCTTTGGAAACTTCTGCTGCATGCGTGTGTGTGTGTGTGTGTGTGTGTGTGTGTGTGTGTGTGTGTGTGTGTGTGAGAGAGAGAGAGAGAGAGAGAGAGAGAGAGAGAGAGA